GGGGTGAGATGGTATCTCAGTGTGGTTTTGATTTGCATTTCCCGAATGCTGAGTGATGCTGAGTATTTTTTCATATGTCTGTTGGCCATTTGTATATCTTCCTGAGAAAAATGCCTACTTAGCTCTTTTGCCCATTTTTTAATTGGGTTACTTGTTTTTTTGTTGTAAAGTTGTTTCAGTTCCTTGTATATTCTGGATATTAATCCTTTGTCAGATGTATATTTTGCAAATATTTTCTCCCACTCTGTTGGTTGCCTTTTAACTCTGTTAATTATTTCTTTTTATGTGCAGAAGCTTTTTAGTTTGATATAAGCCCATTTGTTTATTTTTTTGTTGGTTGCCTGTGCTTTGGGGATCATATTCATTACGTCTGTGCCCAGTCCCACTTCCTGGGGTGTTTCTCCTATGTTTTCTTTAAGAAGTTTTATTGTTTCAGGGTGTATATTTAATTCTTTAATCCATTTTGAGTTGATTTTGGTATATGGTGAGAAGTATGGGTCTAGTTTCATTCTCCTGCTTATGGATATCCAGTTATCCCAGCACCATTTGCTGAAGAGGCAGTCTCTTCCCCAGTGTATAGGCATGGTGCCTTTGTCAAAGATCAGATGGCTGTAGATGTGTGGGTTGATTTCTGAATTCTCCGTTCTATTCCATTGATCAGTGTGTCTGTTTTTATGCCAGTACCATGCTGTTTTGGTTATGATAGCTTTGTAGTATAGTTTAAAGTCAGGTAATGTTATGCCTTCAGCTTTATTTTTTTTGTTCAGAATTGCTTTGGCTATGCATGGTCTTTTGTTATTCCATATAAATGTCTGGATAGTTTTTTCCATTTCTGATAAAAATGTCATTGGAATTTTGATGGGGATTGCATTGAATTTGTATATCACTTTGGGTAGTATGGACATTTTCACAATGTTGATTCTTCCAATCCAAGAGCATGGGATATCTTTTCATCTTCTTGTGTCCTCTTTTGCAGCAACATTTCTGCTCCTGTATACTTTTTTTTTTTTTTTTTCCTTTTTCCGTGTCCGGCAATGGATCGCAACCCCCAGTGTCGCCCCTGCACCGGACCAGGACCGGCAATGGGATCGCAACCCTCGGTGTTGCTCCCGCCCCTCGCTCAGCCAGTGAGCGGCCGGTCTGTATGTGGGATCCGAACCCTCGGCAGGAGCGCCGCCATGCTTCCCAAGCGGCGCACTATAGCAGTGCGCCACCGGGCCGGCCCTGCTCCTGTATACTTTTACAGAAACTTTTTTTTTTTTTTTTCCGTGGTGGCCAGTATGGGGATTGGTTCAGAATTTTGGCACTCCTCATCAAGAAGTGCCTTGAATCTAGGCAGAACTTTGCACCTGCCTCAATGAATAGAATGCACCTGAAGTGATGCTGTGTGACTTCCAAGGCTTAATAAAAGGCCATGGGGCTTCTGCCTGGCTCTTGTTAAGCTCACCCTTGGTATCCAGTTACCACCATGCTATGAGGGACCCCAAACTAGCCTAAGTAGAGAGACCATGCAGAGGGGTACTGATGGAAAGGAGCTGAGGCCTCCCAACCAAGAGCCAGCATTGACCACCAGCCACATAAGTAAGCAAGTCTTGACCATCCCACTCCCAGCATGAAGCCTTCCAGCATGCAGCCTTCCAGCTGAAGCCCCAATACTGTGCAGCAGAGACAAACTGTTCCTGTTATGCCTTGTCCAAAATCCTGACCCATAGAAGCCATGAAATAATAAATGGTTGTTTTATCCCATTGAGTTTGGGGGTGATTTATCACACAACCCTATTAACTAGAACACTGTGAGATAAGGTACAAGCTGTGTCTCTTTGGGCCTGGATTTCCTCATCACTCAGGCCCATTTCACAGAGAGAGAGAGAGGGAATAACTGCAACACTGGTGCCTCCTCCTATCCCCTCTCCTAGTCCACCCTCCCTTGCTCCTCTCCATATCAGTACAACCTCACTTCCCCAGGAAATCCTTCTCTGCACCCTCCTCTCTGCACCCCCTCCCATGTTCACTGAGGTCTCCAATCAAAGGCTCTCAGAGCACCTTGGATTTTTTCTTTACCCACTTTGTGATTATATATTTGTCTGTGGTTACTAATGAAACATAAGCTCCATGAGACGAGGGATCTTGTTGGTATTGCCCGTGGTGGTGTCAAGCCACCTAGCCTGGTGCCTGGCACACAGAAAGTCATTGATTGCATGAACTGGACGTGCCCAAGGGCATACAGTTTGTACTAGATCTGGGACTAGGAGCTGGTATCCCAGTACTCAGTGGGAGGCTTCCTCTGCCACACCATTTTGCTCCACTCCAAGACTTATTACTTTTTTCAGCACCCAAACTTCTGACCATCTAGAGGTTAAGCCACCATGTCTGCAGAACTCTCCTCAAACCTAAGACATTCCGTCTTCATCCCACCAGCCACCTTCTTGCCAAAATAAGCCAGAAAAGGTTATGTCAGTGCCTGGATTCCAGCAGGAATTGGGCTGGTCTGAGATGAAAAACAGAGAAAAAGGAAATATCCTCAAATGTTGATTTGTTTAAAGTTCTTCACAAACTTTACAACATAAGGAAACCAACAGAGACAAGCTGGTAATGAAGTAATCAGCCGACGCTGCTAATATTCCAGCAACAAGAAATGATTACCCATATTTCATGGGGTAGATATGAATAGGGTTATTAAAATATGGCCAAGGAGGGGAGGGAGAGTTTACTTTTTCTGTCTCCTTAGAGTCTGTGTTCTGAAAGCTCAGCAGGAATTTAAACAAATAGCACAGAGGAATGGTGAATCTGATATTTAAAGAAAAAGCCCCTTTCAAACTTCTCTTCCTTTTAATACATTGGTTTCTGCAAGTTTTGCTTTTTAAAAACGCTGCAAGTTTTTCTTTTCTTTTCTTCTTTCATCATTTGGAGAGCCTACTTGAGGAAAACAAAATTAGCATCGAATTGTTCTAATATTTTCCTACATCTTTTTTTCCTGTAGGTCAAGAAGAAATCGTTGCTTCTCTCCTCTAAACCAATGCCAGGAGAGGGGAAGGAAGGAAGGTAATAAGGAATGGGGTCCTAATGCTTCCCCTCTGATTGAAAAGTAAAAAGTTAGGGGAGGGCAAAAGATGGATGGAGAGAGCTATCTTCAAAAAGAGAATGCATCAGTGAAATGTGCCTGTGAAGACCATGCCCCCACAGGAAGGGGAGAATTGGGTCTCCAGCCTTCGGTTCCCTTGAATTCCAACGTGCACTGTAGGCTGAAGGGCGAGACACTCCCCAAACTTAAACAGGGTTAATCTGACCAACGGTATGACGCATCCTCGTGGAGGATGGCGATCCAGTGCTCTGATCTTGAACAAGTTACTTAAATTCTTTAAGCCTCAGTCTTCTCACCTGTAAAAAGGGGACAAGAGAACCTACCTCGCAGAGCTGTGAAGGTTAAATGATACATGTCACCTGGCACATAGTAAAGTGCTCTGCAAACGTCAGGAAGAAAAGCAAAAAACTCCCCCATGAGGCACTTTTCTGGTGAGGCCCCTGGGCTCTGGAGGGGTTGGTGGGCCCCGCGGGATTGGGAGGACACTTTAGCCAGCCGTCTTCACCCTTCTCCAAATCCGGCGGCTCCGTCCTGGGCCGTGGTGTGGCTTGAGGGCTCAAGGCTCCTCACCGAGTTTGCTTAAGCAACTTCTTTCACACACAGCCCCATACACACTTCGGCCAAAAATTCAGTGAGGTTTTTTCCTTCCTTCTCCCTCTGTTGTTGTTGGGTTCTGATTACTTCCATCTGGCTGCAGCAGCTCGAGTGGAGTCTGCAACAAAACAAAACAAAACAAAAACTCTCCCTACAAAACACAGGCACCAAACCTATAAGGTTGCTTCGCTTCTCGCCAACATAACGCTCAGATGGCGACGTGTGCGAGCCGCGGCGGGGGGCGCTGGCAGGACCCCCGGCACCTGCGCTCGCTGCTCGCGGGAAGAGGGTCCGCATGGACCCAGCCCCCGCCTCCCTTCCCTCGCGTCCCTGGTTTCCGCCCGGGCCCCCGGAGAAGCGGGTGCCCTGGGAACAGCGACCGGGGCATCTCCCGGCGGAGGGAAGAAGGAGGTAGGGAGTGGGGAGCGGGGAGGGCAGGCGGATTTCAGAGATTGAAAACAGAGCAGTCTCTGCGCCTCAGCTCCGAAGCTCATCTGACTTGAGTTAGCGACACCCCCAACCCCCAACCCCGGCGCTTTAAAAAAAGTGTTGGAGACTGGCGCGTTCTTTCGTTCCCAGCTCGAACTTCCTCGTAGGTGTGCTTCCTTTCCTTGGTGACGGGGCCGGGGGCGGGGGGGGGGGAATCCCGGCCCC